GCCCAGAACACCAACACACTCCCTTACCGTTCTCCAGGACACACACTTCTCCTTTGCCTGAATCCTATTCATCTTTCCCGGGGTTCTCACTAAGCTAGGTCAGGGGCTTGCCTTGTGCTTCCCAGCCCAGGCCTGGTCACACTTTACCGTACTTACATGTGCCACTAGCCAGCAACTTGGGCTGCTCTGTGTGGGCAGAGAAGGGGGTCTGTCTTATTCACCACTGTGTCCTTACTGCTGTGCACTGGGTGTGGCATAGGGAGGAATTCAAGAATATTTATTACATGAATAAATAGATCAATGATATCTCCAAGATCTACTGAACTGCTTCCATCAAAACTTATAGGAGGATCATGCAAAAACTACTGCTACCTGAACCAGCTGCTAGAGAGCTGTTAAAATATATACATAGCACGGTCCCCCGCAGCCAAAGTCCTCATTTTGACCCAAGGCAGGCAACTAGCCTTCCACTCACTGAAGCTCCTTACACACATCCAAAGTGGGCTATTAGTCTTCTTGTAAACTGAACCAGGTTATTTAGGTAACTTTCCTAAGCCCTACATGGGACTTCTCAAAACATGACTGTCTTGAGGCTTATGAAAGAGAGTATCGAATGTGCTCAAAATGAAGCTGAAGCTAATGGATTCACTTCCTTAATGATGGACTTAGAAGCGCTACTTTGGCATGGGTTTTGTTTTGGATTTTGATCTAGGAATCAGTTTCCTGTTGATTACGGCATGCAAAACATGCCAGTATTTCACACAGACATATGTTCCCTAACTGATTCCGTTAAGGCAGTGTTTTTTAAGTCTCACTTTGTCCCCTCCTCCCACCCTCCACTCCCCACACCCCACCCCCAGGAGACATTTGGCAATGTCTAGAATCATTTTTGATTGTCATAATTTGGAAGGGATGCTACTGGCATCTGGTGGGTAGAGACAAGGGAGACTGCCAAAGGTCCTACAATGCACAGGATAGCCCCCACAGCAGAGAATGATCTCACCCGAAATGTCAATAGTTCTAGGGTTGAGAAGCCCTGCATTGAGGTCACTCTGTAGACACCTTGGTGCACAAGAACTAGGCCCTGTTTATCTGCGTAGTGCTTTCCAAGATGTGTGGAAACAAAGCAGAAAAAAAACCAAGTTAAAAAGCAGTAAGAAGGCTGTGGCTCTTCCCCAGCCTATGATTTAGAAATTAAGATGCACAGCCTGTTTCTAAAGTAGAATAATTCCATTTGGGGAGGTTTCCTGGGTAGATCCCAGTCCTGGATCAAAGAATCTCCTATGGAAATATAATAAACGGCATTTAGATGGAATTGAACAGACCCTTGAGTGTGAAAAGTTTTCGTGAATTCAAAACCATATTTGTTTTCCACATTGAATATGTTCAGGTCATTTTCTTTTCCTAATAAGATAACCATTTGGACAAAAGTATCCACTTGAAATGCAGGTGAAATGTAAACTGCTACTCTTCTACACAGACAATCCAGTGTATTTATACTTAATCCATAAAGGCATGATGTTACAAAACACATTTGTATATTGTGAAGCCATCTGGCATCAAATTTTCCAATTTATAGACAACTTTGTATTTACATAACAAATTATTAAATCAACCATTTTTCCGGTTTATAAAAGGTCGCTGAGCTACACACACAGTGTGTATAAAAGCAGATAAGGCTGATAATACATATTTACAGTAGATACAAATTAATCTTTCATATTTGAAGATAATGCTTTTTATATATTTTTTCTGTATCAGACTCCCCACTGTTAGCAGGATTTCCCATGCTTGAGTTGTTTATTGCTTTTTGGCTCACTGATTTAATATTCACTTCTGGGTTGTTTACACGTATGAATTACTAATGTTCTTATCTCTTTGGCTAATGCAAATGTGATAGAGTGAATGAAAGAAAAAGATAAATTAATTCAATATTACAGTTCTGGCTGGTTGATATCATTTTTTCATAGCCCCCAGATGAATCAAGTAATGCACAACTCATTTTATACACTACATTTGAAAAGTCTTGAGACTTGTGTTACACCATTTGGGCATAAATGGGCAAAGTAAACAAGGTATCAGATTTTCAGTAAGGTCTAGAATCTTGGCTTTCTTGTCAGAAAGAGCAATGTCACCAGCGTCTTAAGCATTTTAGATTTTTAAAATCTCAGGACAAAACCACTTGTGACTTACAAGAACACATTGCAAACTGCAGAGAAGATTACCAAAGTTAACGAAAATGTGTTATCATGGTCTGAAATGAAAAAGGAGTCACCTCATGGGATAAGTCAGTTGGGAATCTTCATAAAACTTACAGAAAACAAAATAACAGCCCTCTGCTGTTCCCACAATTGTGCAGTGTTATGTTATAAAAAAAAAAAAAAGAAGATTGTGTTTACTTGAAAAACAGACATTGCAAATAACTCAAAGTCAGGGTCCAAATACAAGACTAAAAGTGGCCCATGATCTCACAAGGGATGAATATTTTTAAAGCATTTACATTCACAATGAGACTGAAAACTACAAACCAAAAAATATTCCTTTAAATAAATAAAAACCCTGATAGCTATTAATGCGACAGATGAGACAAATCAAACAAGAGCTGCTCGGTTAATTTTCATTCATTTGAAATAGTTTTTAAAAATTACTTAAAGGTGTAGTTTATTCTCCTTGTGCTTCCTAAGACTGTTAAGGGACACAAAATAAAATAATATTTTCTTTTCCAAGAGGGATATTATGTTCTTTAAAGGAGCAAAAATTTTTCATTATTTCCATTGTCAGATTTGTTGGGGAAAAAAAAAGAGTTTGTTTATTTTAGGGAATAAAAAATGTAATAATGTAGAAGGGCTAGCCTTCATTTTTAAAAAAATGAATTGGCTTCAATACAAAGAGAAAGAAATGGCTCTATGGGCAAAATTCAAGTACGAGTGACCAATTTTTTAATTGTAAAGTAGGTGCAACATTTAAAAAAATGTTACAGCACTGCATGACCTGTAATGTTAACAATATTTACATTAACTGCTTACATGAAACCATAGAACTGTAAAAGAGAGGGGAAAAAAGCCCATGTGGACTGAAACAACAACACCTAGCATCCACATCAAAGCCGTAAGGAACCAGTGAAATCATGGGCACAAACATACTTTACATGGTCTACTGATGTAAAGTGCACATGGGTGGGGAAGCACACACCTAATTAGCTTGAACTATCTAAAAGAAGGCTCGGTGGACACAAACTCAGTCTAAAGACGGACAGCAAGGGCTAAAAAACTTCTACATATCAACACACACACACACACACATATGCAGACACTGCAACACACAAACACACATATGCGTCTACCTGGGAATAAAAACAACCCAACCATGTAGACGAAACGGTAGAAAAGCAGGTTGGTGGCAAAAAATTAAAAAAAAAGGACACCTATGGTTTAAACACACCGAACACACAAAGACATATCAACAAACTACGCGAAAGATGACTCAGGGTGACTGCATGGGAAGGACTGGCAGGCAATCCCATGGTTACATGAAAGACACAATGAACCTACCCCCAGAAGGAAGGGTTCCTGCCTCCAGGCCGAGAAGCCCAGGGTAGCCAGTTGCATTCCGTCAGGCTTGGGGGTAGGGGTGAGGATGGGAGTGGAAGGACAGGGAGACACAGGAGACCGGGGGAAGAGCTGAGAGCTGTTGCTATCAAAAGTGAGCCCAGATGGAGTGCTCTGTGCTGTGGCCCCAAGAAACCAACTGGAAGAATGACCTTGGTCTCCTTTTTCCTGAGTTACTGGAACTCTGCTACATCATGGGACTGAGGAGTATGGGGGGTGTATGAGAGAGGAGAGATAACAGAGGTGGTGGGCATTTGGGGGTCTGGAGCCTGCTATCGAAAGGCTCCCAGTAACTGGAGGTTTAAGATGTTGAGTGAGCCCCAGGCTAGGGGACAAGGCAGGGAGTGCTCTTGGGGGAGTTTAAGGGTTTGGGGGTGGGGGCTGGTGATTCTAAGAATAAAGGGATAATGGATCCCTTCTTTTGACAATCCATTAATGGAAGTCAGGCTGGAGGCCTGAAACTTCACTCAAGTGATTGGGAGATAGGGTTAGACCACCACCACAAAAATTGTGAAAAAAAGACGGAAGATTATGTTGTGCTACATTTCTTATTAATAACCTTGTACTTTACAATGGCTCACAGTTTTAGGTTTGTATACTTGTAATGTAGTATTTTCTCTCTACATTTGTTTCACATTTTTTCTTACTTAATATAATATAAATAATTTGGTTAATAGATTTAACCTGCACATTTCAGCCACATTAATATATATAAGAATCTGTTAATGGTATAAATAATTCTTTAAATAAAATAAATCTGATATGTTACATAATACTGATAAAAAATTACCATTGCTAATAATTTTGTAAGCCACCTTCACTTCTTAGTAATACTGATGAATGGCTATGAAACCTGCTTTGATGATTCGTATTTCTTCTTGCCACTACAAAAAAACTGAATTATAATCAACCTTACTTCTGATAATGGTTTCGAAGTGGGGCTTTTGCCTCCATGTATGGAAACAGAGAGTTTTATCTTGTCAGGTACTGTCTGCAAACAAATTCCACTCTGAGTGTCAATGGTGGTGCAGCATAAGCTAGCTAGATCAATAGGTGGCTATCAAACGTTAACTACAGAAATGACTGAGTAAAATATTCCATCTAAGTTTTTTTTTATAAAACCTATTCTACTTTAAAACTTAGGTAAAAAAAATATGCAACAAATGGTTGCAGTTTCTGAATTCTTAATTTAGACCTGTGAGCCCTCATCCCTTTAGAAATCTGCAAGGTTTTGATTTCGTAGGCACCCGAAATCGAGTCCAGTGCTGCCAGGCAAGGTTCATTCCAAACAGACAATATAAATGGACACTCGGTGGTGTGCAGTGTATGTCATCATTCAGGTACTACATCATCATGCCTTTTCTCTGCTGTTAAATACAAAAACAGCATCTGTTACATTATCATAGAAAAGCCTTTAGGTTGTATTTTTATTTATCACTTTACACTGGTAGTCTCTGGTAGGTGTACTCCATAGAAACCAAAGAATTTTGTACACTATTTCTTTGTACAATAAAAGATAAAGTGTGCATTAGGTACGCTTGTACATGACAATATTGTACAATATTTACACTTCTGATATCACCGTGAAATTCTGTATTTTCTATATACAACATCGAAAAGTCTTCCGAAACATTTGGACATTTCTTATAATCACAATTTTAGCATTATAGAAAAAGTTTCTCAGTAATCTCTTGACCGTTTATCACTCTCATCAGTCAGGGGTTTTGATTGGTTTTCCAGCCTTCATTATCTTTCCTGTTCAAAAAAATATTGTATCACTGTTTCTTTTAGCACCCTGTGGTGGTGGTAGCGATCTGCCATAGCATAAATACTGATATAACAGTGGATATATCAATACCTATCTATAGAGAGATTTATCTGTGCACGTTCCTTTAATAAACACTGCGCATTGGTGGAGTAGTCCCTGTTATCTGGAGATCTTCCTCCTCTTGGGTTTGGGGGGTCTCATTTGTCTGTCTCCCTGTGGGATTTGGTGAACCTGGAAATAAAGAGGTGGGAAAAAAAAAAACAACAACAGAGGTTGAAAGTACAAACACCATACAATTTCTGACAAAGAAACCGGGGAAAGAATAGAGTCCACCTTTCCTTTTCAATCACTGATATCATGGGGCATTTACATTTTCTGTCAAGACCCCAGATCTCAGCGTGCCTATAGTCACTACAGAGAAGGAGGAATCCTAGGAACTGATAAGCAGAACAACACCGTGGGAACCCCATAAACGGTGGGACTCCAAAGAGGAACCGGAGAAAATCAAGCGTGGGAAACGCAGTGTGCCGTTGCTACCCCTGCTGCCCACTTAAGACAGAAATAAAGCCTTTCCTGTTAGCGATCCCTAGATCACCAATTTCAGTAGAGTCTAGAAAAGTGGAAAGATACATACCAAACATGTTTTCTTCTTTCCTTCGTCACCCGACTTATTTTACAACTACCAAGGAGGGTCAGAACCGTGGTAAGAACACGCACACGGCTCAGCCCAAGGAAGTTTATACCTGAGAAGACTTGCGGAGTGAAAACGAGAAAACCACTACCATCCGTTGGCAGATTTGAGCTTGTATAGTCTGGGATGAGCAAGTAGTACAACTCATCTGTAGATGCTAATGCAGAAACTGTAGCAATTAGGGCTGTGTGTCAGATTGGGCAGGGGTGGAGCATGGCAGGGCATGATCACCAGGTATCAGACAGCAGGTATGGTTCTGAGGGGCAGAGGACAGGTACTAGGAGGTGTAGTGCCCCACATTGTATGTGGCTACCGAGAGGAGAGGGCAAGATCAAGACCTAGGAAAGGCAGGCTAGTCCCAAGGCAGTGGTGTAGCTAATGCCTAACAACCAGCTCCCTGTGGAGGGACAAAAGCCTATTGTAGCATTTGCCAATTTCCATGGTGTAAACACTTCCACCATAGCCAATTTCAAAGCTACCAACATAATGTCACAACTCATAGTTAGGAGAGGTGCCCAATCAGTTCTCAAGGTCCACTACAAGTTGGCTTAATTGTACATTTTAAAAATAATGTTTAGATACACAGCAGAGGCCAAGGCTACTCAAAGTCAAATGTAAAAAGCTTTAAAATAATTAAATTTTGAAAGTAACATTTATAAGTTTCTCAAACTGCCTCTTCCTCCTAACCTGTCCGTATACATTTTTTAAAACCACTAGTTTCTGATGAAGAGCCATAACTGAAAACTTGTTATAATTGAGGAAAGAAGACTTTATTCAAGACTGCAAACAAGTCTTGGTAATTTATGGACCAAATGTGGCCCAAAAAGGTATTTTGTTTAGTTGTATGATGTTTTAATGTTTAAAAATTCGTTGTCAACAGTAAAAAAAAAAAAAAATGGGGAAATTTCAATTCCAGACTTTTAGCATCTTATGAAAAATTGGAAGAGCTTGCAACTCTGGCATAATTTCCCATACGGTTGAGATCTGCTGGAGCATGGAAGAAGCTCCTTCTGGAGAGAGCATGGTCTCCAGGTTGCCACAGTTCCCACCAGTCCTGACTCCTGACTGCCTGATGGCCGCAAAGGCCAAATGTCCTGCAGCAAAGACCAGCAAGATGCTCACCAAACCCATTTTCTCTTTATCCTGAAAAGACACGTCATCTATTACATTTCCCAGTCCATTTGAGTTAAGAAACCCCATATGATGGGGTCAGACCAGAGGAAAAGCAGCAGAAGTGATGAGCCTATCCTGGCAGCCCTCCGCATATACTCTTCTCCCACCTGCTAGATGGATGCAAGTGACATGAAGGAGCACTCTGAGGCCCTAAGGAATGGTGGACACTAGATGGAAAAGAAGAACCTGAGTGTCTGAATGACTGTGTGCAGCAAGCCCTTCCCCAACCAGCACCACACTGAAGTGAGCAATAGCTTTTACTGTGTTGAGCCTCTAAGGCAACCTACCCTGACCTCTTGGATGGCATTTCTCAATCCCCTTTAGTTGCTGTTTTTCTCACAGCTGACTCACTTTACTTATTGATAGTATTTGCCTGGCCTTAGAAGGTGTTTAAATTTATAATCCCTGCTTTAGACCTTTCCTAAATTCTATCAGGACATTTAACATCTTAGGGTCTTAATTCACCCACCTGCAAAATGATGGGTTGGATCACAAAATCTCTAAAGCCCATACCAACCCCAATATTCTGTGAATCTGTAACCTGTATCTGTCAATCAGTAGCCACTGAATGGGTTGTTAGGATCCAGATAACCTTGTTAACACAAAGTGTTGAGTAAAAGTAAAAGAAATTAGCTTTCATTGCTGAATAGCCTTAGATAATTTACATTTTTTTTAGAAATTACCAAAATTATATTTTGAGTGTTTACACTGGCCAGTATGTGAATTAGAGGACAATGATTAAACTTCTCACATGCAATACTATCGTATGAACCGTTCAGTACAAATGTAAAGAAAGAATAGACTCAACCTCTCAAAAACCAGAGGTTACAGTGTTCAATAATTTAACAATAGGATTTTGTGCCAAATATTTTCCTTTTTAGGTAACAGTAGAAAGGAAATGAGAGGTCCAAGAGGTCCGTCCACTCTTGATCTTGACCCTATTGTTCAATTTCCCTTTTTTTGTTCTATGGACAAAGCAAAATTTGCATTATTGACAGTTTAGGCAGCAGTAGTGGCCACTGTTATTCAGAGTCAAACGCAGAAACCTGTGGTTTGAGCTGGAATATCGTGCTGCTCACATTTAGAAAATATGTTATGTGGGAAAAATGAGTTATCTCTGAGAAAAAGACATAGTTAATACTACTAGGTTATTTTTTCTTAAATTACTTTGAATCTTTTCTGATATCAGTCTTTTTTTGAGATCAGTCTTTTTTTTGAGCCTAGTAATTTAGTATTGCTACGTGAGTTGCTTGTCAATATTTAAGAGACTTTACCAAAAAGTGCAATACAATTTATTTTCAAAGAAACACAGTATAATGGAAAAATAAATTAACTTACAGTCCCAGACATTTTGTCCAGTTCACTCATGGCCTCATGAATAGCAGCTTCTAAATGGTTATTTAGCTTTCCACTTCTGGAATTAATGGAAAGAACACACCAGATTAATAAATTAAGGAAACAAAGTCTCAATTTAATCCCCTAATCAAAAAACAGAAGTACCAATTCCACCAAAGAAAGTCAATTTATATTCACATATGAAAAAGTCAGATGATAAACGCTCCGGGATTCTCACCACTGAATATTAATAAAGTCACTGAGCAAGGAAAAAGTGGAACACATGATAGGGGACAATGGATTCTTTCCCCTTCCACATGCTTCTTCCTCTGTACGATGCTTTTGCAAGAAAACCGGGCCATGGGTCTCCTTGCCCACAGAGATGCAGCTTATCCTCCAGGATTCCAGCCTGTCCTGCATTGCCTCTGTTCGCGCTCCTCTCTTTTCGGGCAGCTGGGTGGTGCAGCCGCGGGGAGGCTGGAGGGGCTGAACTGCACACTCTGGCCACTAGGGAGCTCCCTCTGCCCTCTCTGGCGCGTCCTGGCTTCCAGAGTTGAGCAAGTGAAGGCTGAAATCTGGTGTGCCTAAGCACGCCCGTCGCACGTTCTAGGTGAGAAACAGCTTCGCTTGTCATGCCCAAGACTCCCTCCATGCCTGGGCCCCCCACATTTCCCTCAAAACCAAAATGGCTTAAGTATCTGAACAGATAAAGAATGACTATCTCAGAGTATCTATCACTCTGAATTTTTTTCTCTACTCAGCACGTGTGGCCCGAATAATACAAAAGGGTACCTCTGCCACTGTTGAAACTATAGGAAGTTGTTGAACTACTTAAAATCGGGCAAATCCACACTATCTTATCCTGTTCTGTAGTTATGTACTCTTTGTCTACTCTAACTTATTTTTTCCATTTTTATGCATATAAATAATTACCCAGTTATTCTGAGTACTAAGGTGATTCATTTCATTTACCTTGTCATGACAATTACTAGAAAAGGTGCAGAGATAACCATTACATAAACCTTTTCATAACAGGCTGTCAGCATGGTTTTCTAAGAGTTAAGTCCCACCTCAGCATCTACATGGAGATTGGAAATTTGCAGTTGTGGAGGAATTTGGCTCATAGTCCCATTTAGTTTGGCTCACATCGTGTTTAAAAACATATTTGAACTTTAGTGGAATGCCTTTAGATGAGGCCTTTCCGTTTACCACAGCCCCCACCAGGTTTTACCCTCATACGCCGGGACTGGACAATTCACACATTTAGTTTCTGTGTATACTGCCAGGCACATCATGTATGCTCCACATATTTACTGACTAAAAATTTTGTCCAAAGCTAACACGATGTCTTGAAATTTTGGGAAACATATATGAACTTAAGTCAGTTTAACTGAGATAAAAAAAAGGTTAATGTAATGGTTTTAACTAAATTATGTGGACAATACAGCACCAACTCCTTCTTCCCACCTTTTGCTGGCCTGTAAGCCAGCCTCTAGCTTTTACATTCTTCCCATTTATTTTTAGAAATATAAACAATGCAGAAAAGTGCATAGAATAAATTAACCCCTAACAAACCCACTTCCAAGAATAAACTGATAATAAATTACCTACTTTCTTTAAGACTTTTTAATAAAAAAAAAAGCTGAAATTCCCATTTGTCATCAATTCCTAGTCCCATTCTCTCCTCCCCTCTTCGCCAAAGGCAACTATGTTGTGTATCTTCCTAATATGTTTTTATATTTTTTTATTTTTAATTTTATTTATTTATTTGAGAGTGAGTGAGAGCACAAGCGGGGGGGAGGGGCAGAAGGAGAAGCAGACTCCCCACTGAGCAGGGAGCCCCGGCAGGGCTTGGTCCCAGGACCCTGAGATCACGACCTGAACCAAAGGCAGACATTTAACTGACTGAGCCACCCAGGAGTCCCTGTTTTTATATTTTATATGTCCACGAACAGTACCTGGTATTGTCTTCTATGTGGTTTTTTTTTTTTTAATATACACACAAAGGTGTCCATCAGGTATGGTATGGTATATATACTATTCTGCAACTTGTCTTTCTCCCTTATTACTGTCCAAGCACTGAGCACTGTCCAAGTTGATATTATAACCTATTCATACACTCTTTTATTTACCTACCCATTCCAGTTTTAAGGGACCATGAGCATCTTGTGGAGTCAGTCTGGGTTGCTTTTCCAGTGAGAAATTTGCTATGCCTGATGCTGAGTGACGTGAGGTGGGGGTGGGAGCAGTCTGATCCCAGGACTCCGTAGGCCATGTAAGCTTGTCTGGGGTTGGGTTGGGGCCCCATTTATGGGCTGTTTGGCAAAGGTCTTGACAGTATCACACATCTCAATAGTTGCCTAACAATATTACACCTTGAGTAATGTGTTAAATAGATTTATCTTTACTATTTCTTTTGTATTTAAAAGTATGAATATAAATTTCAAAAAATATTTATGTTATGGATATTTATTATAATATGGGTTTACAATCAACTATGTAAAGTTCTAAATGTCTAAAATGAAGGTAAAACATTTCAATGAAAAACCATTAAAGAATTTTGGTTTTCTCATTTTTATCTTAATAGCAAAAATAGCTACTATTTATTGAAAATTGTCTATGTGCCAAGAATTGTGTTAAATCTTCATATATATTATCTCAATCCTAACAGCAAGCCTATGAGGTAGGCCTTATGACAACTGTTTATATGCAATACTTCATGACTTTTTAGGGAACTGGTGAAACCAATTCTAACTTGATAATGAAGAAGATGGATATTTAACTACAAATAGTTTTTAAAAGTAATAAATTCAAAGAGGCATGAAAAAATTTTCCCTATTTATGAAAAATTGCAATAACATCATCATTAAAGTATAAAAATAATTCAATATTACTTGCTGAATAAAAAGATAGAATTTAGGACTTTGTGGTCTCATTCTTCAACAAGATGTTTAAAATGTTTGTAAACAGCTTGTATTAATTTAAGCTAAGTTAATAGTGTTTTTCCTTTAACAAGGACTACTTGTGGAAGAGAGAATAGATACAGAGAGGTGGGGCATGAAATTGCTTGAATGCATCAGGACATTCAAGAGGTAAAGGGAGATGCTCCCAGGTGTTAAAGCTGCAGACTAAGTTTTACACTAACTGGTCAGGTCAACAAAGAATGAACTTAAAAGAAGAAGAAAAATTTCTATGAGTTCATGAAATGAATAATTAGTCAAAATTCAGTCTTGCAGTACCAAGGGACTCCCTGTGGAGTCTCTTCCACTATTTTCGATTCCCTGCTGACATTTAATAATAAACATTTTTACTAATGGACACTCTAAAACCTACTTGATTAAGCAATAGATGTTCATATAATCACATTTCTAGTTATTAATGGAGATAATTGCCACTTCTATTCTTCACTGCCTGTATTGTCACACATTATCCTTATCTTCACTAATTGAGAAAAAAGGCAGGTACACATCTGTGAATGGTATAAGAAATGAGGGAAATGAAAAATTGCATGTTGTTCTACACTTTCAATTTAGAATTTAAGTAACTCACTTCATGTAGAACAAAATAAATTTGGGTGACACCTAAATGTCAAGAATCTTAGATTCTGAAACTTAATTAATAGAGAAAGTATGAAGATTGAGGAAAATTTAACATGCTGGGGCAACTGGGTGGCTCAGTTGGTTAAGCGTCCGGCTCTTAGTCTTGGCTCAGGTCATGATCTCAGGGTTGTAGGATCAAGCCCCACTTTGGACTCCATGCTCAGCGGAGAGTCTGCTTGGGATTCTCTCCCTCTCCTTCTGCCTCTCTCGTCTGTGTGCTCGCACATGTGTGCTCTCCCTCTCTCTAATAAAGAAATAAATCTTAAAAAAAAAAGAAAATTTAACACGCTAAGAATAATTTCTTGCTTTTAAAGTGAAAGTATGATTTATTTTATCACTTTATCCCTTTCCAGCTTCACAAAAATCAGATTACCAAATTTTAAGTTTATATGTATGTATAGATAGATCCTCGTTTCAGTGAAAATCATAACAAATCTAAAAGCTATGGAATTTTTTTCTTTAATGGAGGCTCTCTTTAAATTATCTATATTATAACAATGCTGCTAAGAGGTAGATATTAATATGCCCCTTTTAGAAGTGAAGAATTTAGGCTCAGAGATATCAAGCAACATGCGCAAGGGTACACAGCTCTAAAGTGGTGGAAACAGGATTTGAACTCTTAATCATCTTATTCCAAATGCCGCCTTCCTTTTTCAGTTGCTTCTTCCCTCCTTTTCCTCTGTCTACAAAAGCAGTCAAATCTTTGTCATTTTCATGTTATTTTTCAGGAAGTTTTCATATTAAGGATAGGAAGAAGCCTAATTAATTTATATCAGCTCTCTCTACTCCCTACTTATTTGCTCTTCAACCATGGACACTTTGTTTTTACACCTTCCACTTTATTGGAAACTGTTTTCACTAAGGTTGCCAATAGCCTCTAAATTGCCCAGTCCAAAGGAGATTTCTCAGTTCTTGTCTTACTGGACTGCTGTTTATCATTCTATTATCCTGGAAGCTTTTGGTCTTTGGTTTCTAACACCTGCTCTGCTGCGCGCCCCCCCTTCTCTTCCTCCTTTTTGATTTTTCTCATTTTCTTCATTATCTCTAGTAAATGTTCAAATGCCCAAATGGTTCAATCCTTAGCCCACCGTTCAAATGGGCCAAAGGATCTCTGTGTGATCACAGCCAATTTTACATAGTCAAATACCACTTCTTCCCAGTGTCAGACACAGTCACAGTCCATGGGCACCCCACATGTATTCAAGTCCCCCCCTTGTTCTCCACTTCAGTCAGTGTTTCTACCACCCACAAGGTCACCCCAGCTAAAACCCTGAAAGTTGTCCTTGATTGCTTACTCTCCACATTCTAATCAATCACCATGACGTTCTGTGAATTTTACCTTCTAAATATTTCTTGACCGCATTCCTCATCCTCCATTCTCATTGCTCCAGTTCTGGTTTGAGTCCTCATCCTCCCTTGACTTCTGCCACGTCCTCCTAAACAATGTCCCTGTCTCCAATATGGTTCCCCTAAAATTTATCCTCCATATAGCCATAGCTAAAGTGAAAATCCAACCACCTGTCCCCTCAAGCACTTCCAATAAGATAAAGGATCCTCTGGGCCCTCACTAAGCTCTTCATGATCTGATTGCTGCTTACACCTTTGGCTGCATCTCTTACAATTTCCTGTCTGAGGGTTTATAGTGCCCCAAATCCAACTGCTGATCTCATCCAAACACTACCCCACCCCAAGCCACCTTGGTCCTTATTTCCTTTGTCTGGCTATGTAGTGTGTAAGGCTTGGCTCAGATACCTCCTCTAGAAAGTCTTTCTTTTCCTGAGTTTAATGCCACTTCTCTATGATCCCCAAGTATACTATACATTTGCTGCCATTGCAATTTTAATATTTTAATTGTTTCTGGATCTGTCTCCTCTGCTCAACAGTGAGTTCCAGGGACTGCAGCACAGATTTTTGCTCAACTAGCCTCCTTAAATTAGGGAATAACTAAATGTTTAAATAAATAAATAAATACATGATTGGGTTCAATACATCATTTGTCACTCATATAACCTTCAGCTAGTTATTTAAGCTGTTTGGGTCTGAGTGTCCTCATCCATAAATGGGCTTAGTAATTCTGGCCCATTTTGTGACTGGGAGAATAAAATAATGGATTTTAAATAGTATATGCAAAATGTAAAGTATTCTACTGGGCATTTATAAGGCAAGCCAGTCTGCATAGACAGTAGCATGATAAATAAGGCTGTTTTTACTAAAGCTTGCTTCATAGTTCCTTCTTTTACATCACCAATCCATATTCTGAGCTTATGGTTTCATGACAGTTCCTTTAGATAATGCCACTTAGGACCCATGTAAATTCACCATAACTAGTAAACTAGCTTGGAAGAAAAAAAATTTTAAATTGCTATTTATTACTTACTACCTTTCAGAAATTGATTAATACCAAATTTATGGGGGAAATACAGCTCATTTCAAGGCAGTATATTTAAATATTTGGAGGCATTATTTCATTTCTTTGTTATCAGTCATTTTGGATATTTTGCACGTCATTCAGCTAACTGGAATATCTCACTGGAGGAAAGATTTTAGGGATCTTTTACATCAAATAAACAAGTATTGTTGAATGTTCCACAGCAAATGGCCCATTGCAAATTTGTGATGTAGGTAATTTGCAATTTCCCTCCTTTCATCCAAAACTAGTTTTGTGGGCCTTATCCTACTACAAAGCTCTGCATGGTCAGAGTAGAGGGGGCTGGCCTTGTCCGTATTCCTTATTGTATCTGTAGCAAATCTGACAATTCACTCAGCTATCACGACAATCAGTGCCAACTTGCTATCTTCCAAAGAAGTCCCCGACATAGGGGCACAGGAGTTTGTCTCTTGTGGTTGGCATCTTTCTGCGAGGCAGTTTATTGAGATAAAGAGTCTCCCCCAAGAGCTGTTCAGTTCTGAAATTTTATCTCTGGCACAACTATGAGAAAGAGTGCTCTTTAATAGGTACTACTGGTATCACTATGTACACAAGATACACTACTAATCATTGTGATCTCATAATTCTTAGATGTTTGATAATATGAACATTTTAGTAACTGAACAGGCATGTCAATTATATGTATTTTGAATAACTTTCCCTGTGCCTATGCAAAAGCGCATTTGTATGTCTCTACCTTAAAATGAAATAATAATTATGATACGCAAAACTACATTGTATTACAGTGGAAACTGTGTTTCAAACATTATCTACTTGTCCATACAACATTCACCCAGAATGTAAAGATCTAGAAATACTTGAATAATAATGTCTCAAAGTACAACTTCTTGTCATAATTCCAAAGAAAACCTATTATTCCTGCCCTAAGAAAAAAGAATTACTTATCATCACTTTGACTAACAGTTAATCTGCCAAAATTACTTACCTGTGTACAATTGGGGCTATCTCCCCATTCCTACTCCCAAGGGATAGACTTCAGCTACACTTTTATTTTTCTATTTTATTTATTTATTTTTAGGTTTTATTTTTTTAGTAATCTCTGCACCCAGCAGGGGGCTTGAACTCATGACTCTGAAATCAAGAGTCCCATGCTCCTCTGACTGAGCCAGCCAGGCACCCCTTGCTACACTTTTAGAGACTATTTAATTGCTACGAGGGTGTTTCTTTCCCAGTAAATAAGAGGGATGGAGATGGAGGGAGTGAGGAAAGAGCTCATGAAGAGGGAAATCCCACACAACAGTACAGATTGTTAAAAAAAAGAAAATATTTTCTGTAGCTAATTTGGCTTAACTATAATGGTCCTCTTGGGTGATAACTACTAAACTGTACTTAGGCAGGCACTAAGGTGGATAAAATTAGTGAGATTTTCTTGTCCCTATGAACAAAAACCAGTAAATTATATCCGTGGAAAATAAAATGGCAGAAAAAAGAATCGTTGCTTACTTTCTGTTCCTTTTCCGGGCTCGACTGTAGGCTTCTAAACCTTCTGTTAGTGTCTTCAACTTCTCGGGCTCCACCTGAGTGAAGGCATGAAGACCAAACCATATTACCCAGGCCTGCAATTGTTAACATCATTTTAACTTTCCTGCTGGGGGAAGGGAGGCTTAACTTTCACTGCCCTGTCAAATGTCCTGTCCTTGCTCAAGCAGAGGTTGACTATCTGGCTCCAGGATGTAACATCAATGGAAATGAAAGATCATTTGGCTTTCCTATTGTCAACATTTTGAAAATAACATTTTAAGAACAAAATTTGGACTTTAAATAACCTTCAATTCACAAAATCATATAAATCAGAGATCCCTGGTTTGCTTTTTCTACTCTCTGATACTCAGCAACTGCAAATCTGTACTCCATCAGGGGAGGAGGAGAGCAGTGGTGAGTGAAAGGGGTGGGCTTTGGAGCCAGCAGATGGAAGTTTGAATCTGACCTCCTCACTTTCTAGCATGAATAAAACACCCAAATATTCTGGGCCTCAGTTTCCTCTTTAAAATGAGGACAATAATACCTACCCTCCTGCTAGAATTGCTGAGACAGTCAAAATGCAACAAGTCAGGTTGAACACAACTAAGCATAGAACAGCTATTATTACCTAGTAGTATTAGGCTCTGCAGAGGCCACAAAATGAGTGGGCAGTAGACCACCATAGCCCTTCCGGTCAAGGGAAGAGGGTCTGGTTACACCTTGTGTGAGTGTCCTCTCCCTTCTTGCTTTGTCACTGCTAAGGATCTTGCTACTTCATCACCCTGTGGCCACCAAATGGTGACTGGGGGACTTGTGGAGGTAGGGAGGTGCAGCTTTTACCACTTTCCCCAGTAATCTCTATCATGGTTCTTGAAGACATCCCTCCAAGATAAACAATTAATAAATAGGAAAACTTGTATGTGACTTGTGAATAAAAACACCTTTAGAAAAACATTGCTATTTTTATTGATCTTAAAAAAACAACACCACCAATTTAAGTAAAAACAGTGTTGCTTGCTGTGTAAACACAGCTTCAAGGCAAGTCTCCCAGCCAGCCCTTAACCCAGTTTTTTCCCCAACCCTATGCTACTTTTATATAAAAATTTGAGAGGTTGCCAAAATGCCTCATGGGTAAGAAAATAAATACTAAGAAGCAAGGAAATTATTAACTTTTCTCTTGAAATCTTCCTGACATGAATATCATTTATAAATAATTTTTCTTTGACCCCTTCAAATTGAGTACTCAGTAATGAGTAACAAAGGGTTTCCTTTTCAAGTTTGAAAACAAGCATTTCTAAATATTCAATGAGAAAAACAGTCGAACAATGAAAACATTTTCCTTTTCACGATTTTTGTATTTTGTCCTAAAGGATGCAAATATCTAATTACACAAGTTCATTTGGGACACCCAATTTCTTGTGTGCTAGAACAAGAGACAATTTTGTTCTAATAACACTTCACAGAAGCCATGAAGAAAAGTGTCTTGCTGAAATAACTGGAAAAGCTTAAGATGAGTATATCCATGTGTTGTTTTTTTAAAAAAATGGTGCCTGTATACATTTTCACATTTTATGTTAGAAAAGAGGTTTCATCTTGTATTCACTCACATGAAGAGAAAATGAAAGATATTTCACACATTACATTTATGTAATCTATGGCTAATTCCACTTATATTTAAATGACCTCCTGCCCTTGGCAGTAGGAAGGAAGCTCTCCTGTAACATAAACTTATAGTAGACACAAATTGATGTAGTGAAAGATCTCAGAAGGGATTGATGCAAGCAACAGAAAGATTCACAGTGAAACAAAGCAAGACATCAATATGAAGACTTACCCCACTGGTCTTAATTCTTAAAAACTAAGGTAAAACTATTTTTTTAATCTTCAGTTTTTATTTTTAATTAAATAAGGAATAAGGGGCAATAAAAACATTTCTTGTACATTTATTATAGAAAAGGCACTGTTTTATCATTTAATATGATAATACTGCAAACTAGTATTATTTTTGTTATTTTACAGATGGGACTCAGTGAATTTAAGTAACATGGCCAGCACTGAAACTCAGGTCTGACTCCAAAGTGCTCGCTCAAGCTCTCTTCACCACACCAACTACAATATACATTGAAGTATATATTTTACACACACACACACACACACACTCACTAAAAAAATTAGGTCAAATTATTTTAAAACAAATTAGATTTTTACAGAAATTTAGATAACACATGACCAAAATTATCTTTAAATTTTTTTTATGCTTGGGTAATTTTCTGGTGATTTTTCTGAACTAATCCTCTACTGCAATTTTTTTTCATTTAAATTGCCTCTAAGGCTGTAAGGTACTCTATAATGAACAATATTATTTATAAAGGATTCAATGACCTTGAAAGAGAAAGCAATGATGGTGCTTTCTGAAACTAAATACAAATAAGATACACATAACTGTTTATTTCTGATATGGCAAGATCATACATATCCAGAGGTAAATATTTAGCTTATTTAGTTTCAGAATTTTAGTACTCTACTGAATTGTGAAATATATGAAAAGCATATGATGTTTATAGGGAATTATTCATGCACTTATGCAATATTCAAGAAACTTTTTAAAGATACCAGCACCCCCTAAGATGGTATCGGAGAAGAACAAAATAAATTCAATTTCTAGTCAAACAGAAATCATATATAATGATTTAATGAATACTTCCTCATAAATTACTTAGCTAACTTGTAAATGAAGAAAGTACTGAGAAATCAAATACATAAATGTAACATTAAAAAGGATAAACACACAAATATTTCTATAAACCTTACACTGAAGGAGCAAGTAATTTAAAACACGTAATACTTTGATCTGTAATTATAACCTTATATTCCTGTACATTCATAAGCCAGGAGTTCCATAAATTATTTAATTCCTATCTTGATTAGAAATCATGGGAGGACTTTATAATGTACCTTTTACTCATAACTGTCCCGTAGCCTCACTCTAGTAATGATGATGTTAACAGTAATGACCAACATTATAACTCCCTGCACCTATGTCATTTAAGAATTAGAAAAAATTACCAGAAATTATGTGTATTTATAGTTCACATATTATGTCATGTACAAATATACACATATAATGAATATTTTCTTTACTCCTAAAACCCTCTTTCACTCATTCACATTCTTTAGGTATCACAATTCTTCAACACGCATAGTCCTATAGCCTGTTCAGTAGGGTTGGCAACATACCCAGAAACATACCCATATACTCTTATAAGGTGGAAGTTTAAGACTTCTATGAACAAGTCTGAATCTCTGGTTGTCTATTTTGTTCACAAGGCACATATTAAAATTTGGTAATTTTATTAAGTTTGATTTGGGGTCAATGCAGTAGCACGTAGTCTATCTTAGAAGTAACTTAAATCTACCACGAAGGGAGACGCAAACCTTTCAGAGAGCCAAACTGACCCTCTGAAAGTGAGGGAGCGTATGTATTAGAAGAGTCTGGATCAAAGATCCTAGACCACTGTTGAATAGAGCCCATTAAGTAAAGATGATGTCAAAATTTCCTGCAGGCATTAAACCTGGTAATGGGATTGAATTTCTGGGTGATTTACTTTGCCGCTACTTAGTTGTGAGGCAAAGTTGTCACATAAAGTTCAAAGGACTGAGTACAAGCCACAACCCAGGTTTCATAAGAGAGGCAGGACAGCTGAACTCAAGCCACCTTTTCATTCTTCATGCCTTTTCTCATGTCGTCAGCTCCTGTTGTTGGGGGAATGGCACTGTGCAGAGTACTATGCTTAGAGCTGGGAGACCGGGGTGGGGCTTGGCTTAACTGCCTGTCACTGTGTCCTTAGGAACGCTACTTTGCTGAGCTTCAGCTCCCTCAGCTGTAGAATAGGGATGGTTGGGCACTTTCTAAACACCAAAGCACCAAAGGGTCATTAGTGGCATGTGATACAAGGACAGACCTTTAAACATTTTTAATCTCTTTATAGTCATATATCAGTTTATATATATTCATATAAGTTTATATTAGAAAAATACAAAAAACGTTACACCTATGATTTCACACGTATTATATCTTAGAATAAGACTGAAGGAGTTATTTGAAAGTGGCTTGAATGGTGCCTAGTTCATAGTATGAGTCCAAAAAGTCTTTGTTGAATGAATGAATGAATGAATGAATGAATAAATAAATGAATCTGAGTAAAATTTTTAACTAAGTAATAGTACAGGTAAGCATGCAAATTTATTTTTGGTTTTCATTGGGGGGTAGGGGCAGAGGTAGAGGGAGAGGGAGAATCTTAAGCAGACTCCATGCCCAGTGCGGAACCTGATGCAGGGCTCAATCTCACGACCCTGAGATCATGACCTGAGCTGAAATCAAGAGTTGGACCCTTAACTGACTGAGTCACCCAGCAGCCCCTAAAGGAACATTGCATGCATTTTTTTCCTATTTTTTTTACAGAGAGGTAGCAGGGGGTGGGGGGGTCAGGGGGGTGTAGGGAGCAGGCAACTTCAGCTGAAGTCTGGGAAATATAGCCCTGAAGCAATAAGCAAACATGAGGCATCATTATTGTCAAACATTAATTAAACAGTAAATATTTAAAAAAAATCCTCCACCTGAAAAAGTCCTGCTAACTTAAGGGCAATATTGCAACATTTTTTTAAAAAGTGGGAATTAATGATAAATGATTCAAAGAGTTGACTCACCTGTGACAATAAAGGATGAATCTAATTTTCCATCAATAGTACTCATGGAAAAATTCCGAAAGTGAATCCCATTTTTCTTTTCAAATGAACTAACCAAATACACATTAACAATTTTTGTCGGTGACATTATGTGAGGCTTTGCGTGCGTGTGTATGTGTGTGTGTGTTTCCTTTCCTCTTTACTTTGGAAGCAGGGTTTTAAGTAGTAGAAAAGTACACTACAGGACTAGAGTCACAATCTATTCTAAATGTACAACAGATTTCACGTTGATCCACCGCCCATACATGCAATTAAATGTTTTGGATAAGCTCCTACTTCTAAAGCAGCACTGTTTAAAAGTTCATGTCAG